TAACCTTCAGGGTGGATATAGCTCGCTAGCAACCTCGCACTGATGACCTAGCCACATCATCATTTACCCAGAATGCTTTGCGTGTAAATAAAATGGCCCTGTTCATGTAATATATTTTTATACTTTTAGTTTAAAAATGATAATTTACATCCTACAGTATTTTTACAGTCTTTATTTTACAGTTAAATATGTTTATCAAATAAAGTCCACAACTAATCATGGATCCCTTTAAACCTGGAGATAGTGGTTTTATGAATCCCAGATGATAATCCGTGGTTACAGTTGTAACTTGTTTTTGCACAATCATAGTTTAATTTTTATGATCTCTGAAATTTTTMCCACAGAACATTGAACTTATGGTGTGATAGAACAGAGTAAAAGGAATGCATACGACTGAAGTCGTACTCTTTGGATCCAGTTCTCCTACCTGGTTCTCGTTGCACGGCTTTCTGTGGTGAGAAGCACAAACGGTCAGGATGATGATCATGATGAGCAGAGCTCCGCAGGAGGCCAGGATGGCGATCAGGGTTTTATAATCTGTTTTCTTCAAAAAGGAACCAAACAGTGAAAAGATCACTGGCAGTTGTGACAGACGAGAGGTTTCAATACAGAACCAAAGCTCACCTGGGCGTCTGCCTCCGTCCTTTCTCCATTATACTGCTCTGCCAGGGCGGTCTTCACTGGAAGAGAAGCAGGGATTAACCTGATGAGAGCAGAGTTTAACTGGGATGATGTGAGAGCTGGAGGCTGTGTAACCTTGGCCGTTGATCTCCACGCTGTCAAAATGCACTTTGTTATTGATGCTCCTCCATGTCAGGGTGCACATCCCRTTTTGCAGGTTTAGCATCAGCTTCTGGCACAACTCTGAAAAACCCTTCTGGTCGCCTGCCTGCAAGTGACACAACACACGTCCCTCACCACAGATTATCTTTAAGAGGACAAAAGGAGACAGAAAGGCCTGAAGTGGCTGAGATGAGATCTGCCATTCTTATATGGGAAGGATGGAATGACACGTCTGTGTGGGCAGGAGGCTGTGGGAATGAAGGAAACAAGTGAACGACAGGAAACGTTCTCAGATACTTTTTCCACCCTCGGATTGGAATCCTTGAATCTTCGTTTTTTTAAATTTCTTCTTTTAATTCCTGCTTCCTGTTGAGCTGGAAAAAGATAGGAGATATTCATGTAGTGGTGGGAACTATTTTCTTTTAGTTTTCAATAAGATCCGTTTCACGTCAAATACAAATAATAACCKGAGTTACGATTTCATGAAAAATATCATCTTAAATGTGCTGAAACATACCTAACTACTGAAAGTAGCTGAAGTGTTGAGCTTTTCGCAAAATTAGTGAAAAACTTGTTTAAATTTATTAGAAGGTTTTAAAAGATTAAATGAGACACATCACACTTTTAAATTTTTGTTTCCACATTAAATGCTTCAGTTGGGTCTGAATGAAGTGGAACTACAGCTTTAGTCTGAATTCCTCCATATTGTGACTTCACAAGCCCCGCCCCTTTTCTGAGGCGTGTCTCAGATCAACTCGTTTTAAGGCTGTCTCTTTAAACCCATGCGAGGCACTTCACACCCCGCCCCCTTCAGCTTCAGACTACTTCATTCTAGTTTGATAGATTTACGACTATATAGCTGCACAGAAAAGTAAGAAGCAGGCTAAAAAAGTGGATTTTGTATATGGTGTTCAAAGAAATTCAAAATGAGGAAATCTTGATTCATTTCTTTAAAATAAAGAGATAGTATTTGTTAGTATTGGTCATTTGGTCACCACCATGCCTGACCTTTTGCATGAAGAGTTTGTGCTGTGTTTGCTGCAGTGCATTTTGGGTAACATACTTGGTCTCATGTATCCAGAGGACAATGTCCCAGAAGTCCTGGTTCGTTCWGACGAATCTTTTTAAACCAGTCATGTTGTTTTTAGAGGTCATTTTTGTTCAGTCTTTGTCTAGTTGTTCTTATGTGACCTTTGACCTTTAAACTTGACCCTGTAAAGTGTGCCATGGAGCTCTTGTTTCTTTCACTGTTACTATACTGGTCCGACCTTGAATGTGTAAAAACATCCAGTCCTGCTGCATAGGTTTAGTTATTTTATCATTTAACTGTAAATAATTTAATGTGAGTTTTTATGATAGTGGACTTAATTTCATGCATATAACATGGTTTATTTTCCAGTGCTTTTTTAGTTTTCCTTTTCTGAGTGACATCCAATGGTGGGCACAACAAACTAATTCCTGGAGAAACTTTGAAAGGGCTTGCCATGTGCCGTCCTATTAAAGGGATCCATGATTAGTTGTAACATTAGACTTTATTTAATAAACATATATTATAACTGTAAAATAAAGACTGTAAAAATACTGTAGGATGTTYAGTTTTTATCATTTTTAAACTAAAATTTTAAAAATATATTACACAGATGGGGCCATTTTATTTACATGCAAAGCATTCTGGGTAAATGATGATGTGGATAGGTCCTCGGTGCGAGGCTGCTAGCGAGCTATATCCACCCTGAAGGTTAATCTTGGACAATACCTGATGATTGGCTCTTTTAAATGAAACCAGAGAGCGTTGACAGAGAGGAGAAGGTAGAAATGACTCAGTCTGTAACTGAAAATATGGATGGAGGACMWCAGTTTAGCTTGTTTGTCATGATAGTGCCAAGCTAATACATATAAGGCAATATTGCGTTGGTGCTAGCGCAAAAGCTAATAGGCTAAGCTGAGGTTCTTCTTCCATGAAGCAGCTCTGTTGTCCTCCATCCATATTTTCAGTTACAGGCTGAGTCATTTCTACCTTCTCCTCTCTATCAATGCTCTCTGGTTTCATTTAAAAGAGTCGATCATCAGATATTGTCCAAGAYTAACCTTCAGGGTGGATATAGCTCGCTCACACCGAGGACCTATCCACGTCATCATTTACCCAGAATGCTTTGCGTGTAAATAAAATGGCCCCGTCCGTGTAATATATTTTTAAAATTTTAGTTTAAAAATGATAAAAACTAAACCGCCTACAGTATTTTTACAGTCTTTATTTTACAGTTAAAATATATGTTTATCAAATAAAGTCTATGTTATAACTAATCAGGAATTCCTTTAAATAAATATATGATTTTACAGTTTGTTGGAGATCACTGTGATCTACCAATGTCCCAAATTTGAGCCAAACATGTCTAAAAATGGCTGAGATATGGTGACGTTTGCATTTTAGCTATGGCGACCATCTTGGATTTTAAATTTGTCTTCAGTAGGTGATGGAGATCCTAGAGGGATGTTTCTCACTAACTCTTCATCTATCATTTTCCTGAATCTAGAAAYCGTTTCGGATCGTGAAGAGAGAATGCATCCATCCATTTTTTATCCACTTTTTCTGTTCTGGTCTGTAGCTGGTGTCTGTCTCCAGCTGTTACTGTGTGAGAGACGAGGGACACTGGACACGTCTCACAGAGGGCACGTTGAGACAAACAAGATCTTTMCTGCTCTCATTCACTCTTAGGACCAATTAAAGTTACAATAATTTCAATGCAGCATTCCAACTGTTAAACAGATTTTATAAAAAGSTTTTGAAACGTTATTATGCATCTGAATAAATACTGAAGGACCACTGAAAGGTACTGTGACTAAAATAAATCTGGCCTTATTGTGTCGTAGTTYTGTTGTACCCGATGTGCTTGAAGAAAGGAGTGGGAAGGGCGTTGGCTGGATTTTCTTGGACAGGACAATGGTCAAGTCTTGGTGAGGGTCAGCAGCGCCATTGTGTTTATTGTCTCCTATTTCTCTGTGCGAGTCCACGCTGGCTGCATGTGCTCGATAAAGATTTAAAGAAACACAACTCAAAGAACGAAGGCAAACCGTAAAACCTTACCTCCTGCGCACCGGACAGAGAATACTGGGGAGAAAAGAAAGAAAGAAAATGTCAAAAGCACAGTAAATGTATAGTTTCTGTTTTTATAAATCCCAGTCTGCTCTTATTGCTTACAGTAAACTTCTGCTGCTGATCCAAATTGGTGGTGGTTGTTGAGAGGACTGTGGTTCCAGCTGTGCTCTGGAAACTCCCTGCATCCGGTGGTCCAGCCTTGGTCTGGCTGGGGGTAGTAACAGCTAAATTTGTCTTAATCGTTGTCTCGGCCTTAGGTGATGTCAGCTCAGTGGATCCTGCCCTGGTACCTTCAGGCAGAATGGTTGGATGTAGCACGTTAGCTCAGTGTGAACCTGGCTCCTCTGGATGTGGAGCAGCAGCAGGTCTACCCTACCTAACAAATGTCCAGTGAAACTTTAAGAAATAGTTTTGTTCTTGACATTTAACCCAGACTGATTTCTTAACACATTCTCATGTCGGAATCATCAACATATTGACGCTTGGGCCGGGACCRTCTGCGTCCATTTTTGACACGTCGRGTACCCCCYGCKCGTCCGTCCTTGCCGCTCMCGGCTTTTCYGGGTTGCGTCACTCAGGGGTCTTTGGGTCGAGGRTCTGARGTTAACRTGAGGGATCAGGATTAATGGTTAATTTAAGATAGTCAGGGATAGGCTGTATATAGCTAATATAGGTTAAATTTAGGCTWTGGGACGGTYAGTTCTCGCRAATTCTCTACATTTAAAAAGTGGTTAAAATGAGGGATCAGGGTTAATKGTTCATTTTAGGGTCTGTGGTCAGGGAAAGGCTGTATAGGGCTAATAGAAGTTAAATTCAGGGTRTGGGATGGTTAGTTTCACGCATTTCCTACTGTTGTACAAAAATATGACAACACACTCGTCTTCCRCCGCMTCATCTCGTAAAGAACGGACGYGCAGGGGGTACTTGGCGCGTCCGAAAGTTGACGCAGATGGCTACCTGACCAAGCGTCAATATGTTGACACGGGGGGTGGGGCATATACAGTACTTTGGTCCACTCTTCTTTTTAAATGTGTTGTTTTGACTCTGGTATGGACAGTAAACCTCTTCATTCCGTAAAGTAGAAGGAAATCTATAGATTTCTAGATTTGAAACATTTTAACAAACAAACTTTAGGAGTGGTTTGTCAGAACATGATCACAAAGAGACCTTACCTGATGAGCTTTCCTGTTGGTTCTTGGTTACAAGGTTTGGGATGCTTTTAGTGGACGTCTGCTCAGTTGTTTGAGAAGATGTTGGGGTCCCTGTGCTTAAGGTTGACCCCTTACTGCTATAATCTGATGATGGTAAATGAGACACACCAGAGGGACGAGGTGACGGTGATTTGGTAGCTGTTTGGACCGGGCTTTTATCTGCAACAGATGGTGTAACTTGTGCTGTGGTTTTGGATTGACTGGTGGTAGTAGCAACAGGAAGAGAAGGTGTTCCATTGGGGTGATGGCCAGCAGAAGTGGAAGCAGGAGCAGCAGTAGCAACAGGAGCAGCAGTAGCAACAGGAGCAGAAGATGTAAATAAAGACTTTGCTGCAGCGGTTGTTGGTGCTGGAGTTGGTACCAGTTTATTTGTTGTAGCTGCTGGGACAGTTTTGGTTGTGGTTGCAGCTCCTGTCGTTGCTGGCTGGGTTGTCTGGCTGAAAGCAGTAGTTTTTGCTAAAGTCGTGGCTTCAGCAGTTATCGTTGTTTGAGGCACAGTAGTTGGAGTTGTGGTGACTTTAACAGTGGTTCTAACAGCAGTAGTTGGGTTTGCTGTTGTCACACTCTTAGAAGTGGCAGCAGCGGTGGTCCCCAGGGTGGAACTGATACCTGAGCACAAGCCTAAAGACAAAACATATGAAATACTGTTAGTCCAACAAGTTCAATGGAAACAAACCAGGCAGCACTGTTCTTCCTGTCACTATCCTGTTTTAGACAACAACTCATGTAGATATTGGATCTAATCGTTAGCAGTGTGTTTAGATCCAAATAAGGCTTCCAGCAGATTTTTAAAAATTCTATCTTCAGYGTAGACATCTTTAGTGTTGGACAAACGTTTCATAAGTTGTCTGAAATGTTAGAAAAGGGCTAATTAACCGCCAGCCTGTAGGGTGACTTCCCTTTTTCCTCCTTTGTCTCCTGCTTGTTGTTTTCTTGATTTGTAGAGGGGGGCTCCTATGTGTTGTTGCCTTTAAAAGATAAAATGACTATTTGTTACAAAACCAGTGTAAACTAAGATGTAAAGTAGTAAAGTACAACTACTTCCTGACTTTTTGTTATAGTAGAAAGAGTAACTTTTGTTATAGTCATGACCTTCAGGAAAAATGTATTTCAGGGAGGTCACTTCCTGATAAATATTTTGGAATTTCAAACCACTCGTTTTTACTTTTAMTACTTCAGTACCTTTTACTACAGAAATTTACATTTGATATAGTAAATATCAGATATTTTAAGACAGGGCTATTCAACTAACCTGCTGAGGGGGCCACAGTTACTGCAGGTCAACAACTCAGGGGCCAAACATCCATCAATTAAATTTATTATGTAAATAAACCAAGTATTGCAAAGATCTGTTATCTTAATAGTTTATTTTGCTGCATTTAATCATGATTACAACATACAGAACCCTATAAAAGTAGTGATAAATAAACAATATCAAAAACAAAAAGAACACATTATACCTGCTATTTGACACAAATATTGTTTGACATCAATGACTTGCCAAATTTTTAAACCAATTTTATTTTCACATTCATAGTTTTATCTTCAACTGCTTGTCATTTTAACTGTCTTTAGTGTGCATAGAAATGGTTTTTACCAGCTTGTAACCAAGATTCTGACGGTTCTGTAG